CTTTCCCAGGTTAGTCATTTGTCTGGTGTGACACTTGTCACATGTCATTGCATTGCCTTGGAGAGACAGCTCCCCGATTCCATTATGTGTTAATTTGTTCATTAACTGTTCATGGAGCCCTTCCCAGGGGTACGGGGTACTGTGAATTGACACCGTGTGTTAGCAGCTACTACTGATGGAGGGGACAGCTGGGGAAGGGACACCTAGGTCCAAGACCTGGATGATATACAGGGTAAGATGGGTCCCAGTCCTGAGCCAGTGAGACCCTGGAGCTGGAGTGTGGGTGGGACAGTGGGAAAGGTAGGACCCAGCCTGGCTGGCGCTGTGTGGGAGACACAGCAGGAGTGAGGGGAGTGGAGCAGTCCAGGCCAGAGGCAATGGCCACAGCAGGGACGCAGGAGCTGAGAGCTGTTAGGTGACGTAGAGCAAGGACAATGGCAGGGAACCTAACCGGATCTTCAGCTCTCTACTTGGGCACCGTGGCAGTGATGCTGTGGCCCCGGGGGAGCAGATTTGGTGGGGAAGTGAGCTGAGTTTGGGCCACAGCATGCTACCAAGATGGCAGCAGCTGAGACCAGGCTGTGTACTTGAACATGAGCAACACTGAACACAGGACTGCTGAGACCACTGGAAGTGGAGAGGCCCTGACCTGCCAAGGTCAGAGTCGGACTGCCAAGGAAGCCAGTCATGAGAGACCAAGCAAGGAGAGGAAAGAGGTGGAAGCCTGTCATGAAAAATGGGGTCAGCAGTCTGGGTGATGATTGACAGATCAGAACCTGGTGAGAGAGAAGGTGTGCATGTGCATGTGTGTGCGTGTGTGTGTGCGCGTGCGTGTGTGTGTTGTGAGTGTGTGCGCGCGTGTGTGCGTGCGTGCATGTGTGTGTGCGTGTGTGCGCGCGTGCATGTGTGTGTGCGTGTGTGTGCACATGCATGTGTGTGCGTGCGTGTGTGTGTGTGTGTGTGAGTGTGCACTCTACACAGGTGCAGGGAGAGGTTAGCTGCCCGCTGTTCCTCAGGAGCTATCTGCCATGTGTTTGTTTGCTTTTGAGAAAGAGCCTCTCACTGGCCTGGAAGTCTCCCTTTAGGATTGTATAGACTATCATACCCAACTTTTTATTTAATATTTTATTTTTATTCTTAAAATTCTCTTTATGTGTGCAGGTGTGTGCGCTTGAGTGCAGGTGCTGGAAGAAGGTGTTAGATCCCCTGGGGCTGGAGCTACCAGCAGTTCTGAGGTGCCTGCCCTGGGGGCTGGGAATCGAGCCTCACTCCTCTACAAGCTTAGCAGCCCTTGCTCTTAACTGCTGAACTGTCTCTCCAGCTGCTGCGCCAGCTTCTATGTGGGTGCTGGGATTCGAACTCAGGTCCTTACACTCACACAGCACATACTGCTGAACATCTCTGCAGCTCCAGCCTGGGCTCTGGCCACAGGGCGAGGAACACCAGGTCAGAGAAAAATGTGGATAGCAGGGATTCCTGGTGTCGGTGCCAATCCCTCCCCTGGAAGGTCTGCAAGTCCTGGGCCCATGTGACAGAACCTACAACTTCAGGGGACGAAGGGGGGGAGGAATGATTTTCCACACTGGTGACACAGAGTTGCCACGGAGGCCACAGGAGCCTGGCCTGGGCAGGTGCTCAGTGGGTGTCACAGAACCCATCTTTCTAGGTTTGTGAGAGGCCAGGGTGAGGACAAGGGCTGTGGTCAGCCCTTTTCTGGAACTTTCCTGCTTCTGACACGGCAGTCTTGACTTAAAACCAGAATTCTTTTCTGCTCTGCTGGATACCACAAGTATTTTCATCCCAAGTTACTCAAGTCACTTCTTGACTGTTCAGAAAGTTTCAGAGCGAAAACTTGCCTCTCCTGTGAGATGTGGTTTTGGCAGAGAGCCTGAGCCTCAGCGGCTTTTGCCTGAGGGGTGAGGTATTTCCTGGGGGAATTCACGGCTGTCCAGGAGGAGGGAGCCTTGGGCAGAAGTCGCAGTGGGCTCAGGATACACAGCCCCTCCTCGGTACTGAGAGGGGGTTCTGAGGAAATGCAGAGAATGGAAGGGGAAGGAGAGGCTGTGGAACTGGGAGAGGAGGCTGGCTATGGCTCATGATCCAGGAAGGACCACTCTGAGGAAGTGGCATTGCAGCCAGCTGAGTCTTCAGGCTTGGGGACAAATAAACCAAAGTTAGAATGAGGTGTGGGCAGCCAGGTTACAGTGCTCTGAGGGGCAAGGGAGAAGGGGCAGGCTGCTGGAAGCAGAGAGGCTGAGCCTCTTGGGGCTGTGCCCACCACGTGAAGAGGCTTGGGTGTTTCCCTTGGATTTTTTGGAGAGCACAAAGGAACAGTTGTCAGGGTGAGGAGGGCTGTGACAGAGCCAAGGTGAGACCTGCTCAGGCCTGGGGAAAGAATGGAAAATTCAGGGATCAGTAGGAGGCCATGCAGCCTTCCTGGGCCACTGAGGACAAAGGTTTAGACTAGAATGCTGGGTGAGGAGGCTGGCAGAGGTGGGGGGTGCTAAGATGCAGAGGTGGGGGGTGCTAAGATGCAGGCAGGCCTCTGTGGCTGAGGCATTAGATGGAGCTGCCCCCAGGAGGCCATGCACTATTTCAAGCTTTCCTTGGGCCTCCTAGCCTTTGAAGAAATCTGCAGGCTGCGGCTCCTGAGGTACCATATAATATGGGGGGGGGGGCAGCGAGGCAGCCTGGGGTTCAGATGCCTGCAGAGCCTCCGCTTCCGCACTTCACTTCAGTTGTCCCCCAGGTTCGACAATGGGACTTCCCCCTGGCACTTAGCTAGAAGATGTTGGGACTGTGGGAGGGGACTGTTGACCAAATCTGGAGCCTGGAAACATAAGACCACACAGAACCCAGGGCAGGGTGTGGACGGGGGCGAGACAGGCTCCCTTTCTCCAGTCCGACCCAAGGGCACAAGTTCTTTATTCCTTGTGTTGCTGAGTATAGTGCCCAGGACCAAGAGTGCTAGGCAGGTGCTCTACCCATTGTGCTTACAGGCCTCTGTGCATTTCCTTGAACCGTCCTCCTGTTTAGAGTTCATTGTGTCTCAGGCTACATGTCTATCCTATCAGATGTGAATATTTTTTCAGCCATTTAAAATGTACCTTCCTGTTTGTTTGTGTATGTGCCTGGATGAGCCTGTGGCACAGCATGCGTGTGGAGGATTCAGGGGGGTCGGTTCCCTTCTTCTAGCATGTGAATCCCAGGGATTGGCTTCCCAGTCTTGGGAACAAGCACCTTTACTCTCCAAGCCATGTTGCCAACCTCAGCCTTTATTCTTTTATTCCCCCTCTCATCTTTTGATACTGCAGGTGTCCCTATGCTCGAACACTGGTTAGCATTCCTGAGGTTCTGTTCTTTTTACTTTCAGCCAATTGATAATTCTGTATGTAAATCTTTGTGTGTGCGTGAGCGTGCCTGTGCATCCGTGTGAATGCGGGTGCACTCATGCCATGGTGCACATGTGGAGGCCAGAAAGACAGCCTTTGCTTTGTTGGTTGCATTGAAATTGCTCAAGGTTCAGTCAGCAGGAGAGGCAGCCTGAATCCTAGCGGGCAAGAGCTTCTGTCCCTTCTTAGCCCGTTAATTTCCTGGTCTTTCTTTCCTGCCTCAGTGTAACTAGAATGATGCAATAAAAACACAAAACCAGGGTGGGGAGAGAGTGGGGTCAGCCTCTCAGAGAGGAGAGCATGAACGGCAGGAAGGACAGCAGTGGGAGGGCCTCATGTGGGGGCTGGAGAACTCCCTGGAGAACTCTAGGCAACGACATGCCCGTGGTCTCACTATATGTTACGAAGGTCTTTGTAGTTCCATAGAGAAGGGGGCAGTGGCAGGAGGCTGGGGCAGTGGCAGGAGGCTGGGGCAGTGGCAGGAGGCTGGGGCAGTGGCAGGAGGCTGGGGCAGTGGCAGGAGGCTGCTGCAGTACTTCAGGCTGAGATGGATGAGAACGATGGGATTAGAGATTCAGGGAGCGGGTTCGCAATGGAGTCTAAAGGCAGCACCTTCAGAACTGCCTGTGTGGACTGTATGCGTCAGTGGTTAACTCTGAGTCGCCAATAACACATTCATGTCACATTAAGGAATAAAAGCACTTCCCCATCCAGTATTTCTTTTTCCTGAGACAGGGTTTCTCTGTGTAACAATCCCAGCTGTCCTGGCTTTTGTGGACCAGGCTGGCCTCGAACTCACAGAGATCCACCTGCCTCTGCTTCCCAAGTGCTAGGATTAAAGGTGTGTGCCACCACTGCCCCTGGCTTCCCTTCAAGTCTTTCAGCCAAGAGGGAGTCCAGATTTGAATTCTCCTACATGCTCCCTCCTGCTTCTTCTGTCCTTTGTGGAAACCTGTGCCTGCTGAAGAACAAAGTCTTGGGAATCTTTCTGTTCCCGAGTGTGACTATAACTGTGCCTTTTGTGTGCTTGTCTGTGTCTGCTGTGTGATCTCGTGTGTCTGTGCCCCACAAAGGGCTTCTCTCTGTCCTTACCGATCAGCACAGGCTGGCCTCGATTCCTTATCCTCCTTATCCTTGCCTCCACCTCTCAAATGCTGGGATTACAAGTGTGTGCTGTGTTGGATAATCCTGGAAGGAACTCCCCTTTCCATCTGCCTGGCCAGGACTGGCCTGTGGAGTGTAGGGTTGGCGTCTCTGAGTTTTCTGTAACACTGGACTTTTGGACGCTTCCTCCACTGCCATCACCAGCTCTCAGTTTCTCTGAGAGTGCATGGCTCTTCTGGTATTTACACGTGGGCCTCCTGTAGGGACTGGGCTGTAGTACCGTTGGTGACTGCTGGCCAGACTGCAGGGACATGTCTGGTGGGATTGGGGTTTCCTGTTGCCTCATATACAGCGATATTAGGTTCCAAAAATAAGCGCCCCCCCCAAAACCCCCCTTTTTTGACCTGGGCTAGGGTGCTCTGTGCACCCTGGGACCTGGTTTGGGTCCTGCTCCCCATCACAGCCATGGGAACCTCAAGTGCATGTTCTGCCCCGCCCCTCCAGGCCATCACTCGCAGAGCCAAGGTGGCTCCCACCAAGAGGATGAGCAGGTTCCTGAAGCACTTCACAGTGGTTGGGGATGACTACCACACATGGAACATCAACTACAAGAAGTGGGAGAACGAAGAGGACGAGGAGGAGCCAGCCCCCACATCGGCCCAAGGTGAAGGCAGTGCCGTGGGTGCAGATGCCGAGGCTGGCCCTGGCCCCACACCCAGGCCGACCCTGGACTTTAGGAACAGGCTGAGGAAACTCTTCAGCTTGCACAGGTTTCAGGTAAGAGGGTGAAGCCACCATGTCCCCAAGGTGGGAGCCCCCTCTGCCACTGCCATTTGTGCACCGCACAGGTGTTTCTGAACACCGACCACATGCCCTGCTCCGTGGTCTGACCTGGACTGACAGTGGGGGAGGAGAAATGATAGAAGGTTAAAGGTCGTCCCGGCGCCTGTCCCTCCGGAGGGCAAGACATGTGGACGCATGCTGCCACTTAGAAAATATGACTTGAGTGGCAGGCCAGACAGGGAAGGTCCCAGTTGTGTGTGGTGCCAGGTAGCTGAATCGCCCAGAATACTCACAGCCGGGTAAACGGATGGGTGTCGTGGGAGGGAGGAAAGAATGGAGGGGGCAGCTGCTTGAGAGAGATGGGATTTCCTTTCGGGTGGTGAAAGTACGCGGGAAGCAGACAGTGGCGGCTGCAGACTCCACCCACCACCTCAGAGCTTTAGGTAGTCATGGTCACTTTATACTGCTATTCTCCCATTGGGAATCTCCCTGTGTGTAGTCTCCACGTCCACCGAGAGAAGCCTTCCTTCCACAGTGCCTGCTTCTGGACAAAGCCATGTGGGTTTCCTGACTCAAAACATCATCTCCATGGGGCCTCAGACCCGTTTATGGAGAATTAACAAAAACACGTGGGGCTGGGGTGATGGCTAAATGGGTAAGGTGCTTGTGTAAGCATAAAGACCTGAGTCTGGTTCCCCAGCACCCAAGGGAGAAGTTGGGTGTGGCAGTATGTACTGGGAGGCAGGGACAGGCGGCTCCTTGGGGCTCACTGGCCAGTTGGTGAGCACCCAGGTTCCATGAGAGAATTAGGTGAAGAGTAATATGGACCTCCGGCTTCCACGTGTGTGCATGGGAGAGCGCATGCACACACGCACACACACACACTCCACACATGTGCCTGGCTCTCACTGTCACCGCCTCTCTCCGGATTCTGTCATGGGGAGAGGGAAGGGACTTCCTGGCTGAGCTCTGTGGGGGCCATCTATCCCAATCTTGTGAAAGGCAATTTTTCAAAAAGATTTATCATCTGATTTATATATGCATGCGCCTTCACAAGTTTATGTGTACCATTTGTGTGCAGGAGCCCTCAGAGGCTGGAAGGTGTCCAGTCCCTGGAGCTGGAGTTCCAGGTGGCTGTGTGTGAGCCACCTGGTGTGGGAACTGAACTCAGGTTCTCTGCAAGCATTCTTTTTTTTTTTTTTTAAGACAGGGTTTCTTTGTAGCTTGTCCTGGAACTTGCTTTGTAGACCAGACTGGCCTCGAACTCACAGAGATACACCTGTCTCTGCCTCCTGAGTGCTGGGATTAAAGGCGTGTGCCACCACCGCCTGGCAAGCAGTGAGCATTCTTAGCCACCGAGCTATCTCTCCAGCCCTATGAACAAGGGCAGGCTTCTTAGGTAGCAAGCTGGTGTCCAAAAGCATGGCTGCTCCAGAAAAATGCAAGAGACCAAGGGCATGGGGACAGTCACAGCTCCTGGCGGGTCCAGTGCTACAAAGAGGCACTTTGGTGATGCGCTCGGGGCATCAGAGCCCAAGTCCCTGGAAGCAGGGAACAGCAGCTCCACTCACTGCTGACGCTGTTCTCGGGGTGGGGAGGTTATATTGGTCTTTTTTCCCCACTTAAAGCAAGCCAACAACCCAGCATCCCTTGCATTCTGCCAGCCCCTCTGTGACTGTGGCAGGAAACATAGTATTATGTTGTTGGGGTTGAAATCCAAACCTGCAATTCAAAGCAAACAGAGGGAGCCAACTTCCTTCCAGCTGTATAGAGAGCCCCAGGCCCACCCCCTGTAGATGTCCCTGCCTCTGGAAGGGACTCATCCCACCTCTCAGCCTGCCAGTCATGGGTCTGACTCTCAGGCTGGGAAAAAAAAATGGTGACTATCATAAAGGCATTTATCCTCTGAGGGGACGGTGACCCCTCATTTGGCCCCCATTGTGGATGGCAGCAAGCTGGACGTGACAGTCTGTGGAGTGGCAGGGATACTCCTTAGCATCATGGTTAGCTGTCCCCTGCAGTGGTAAGGATGAAGTCGAAGAGCTCTGGACAGACTGGGTGATTGTCACCTGGCACTCAAGCATAGTAGGCCTCAGGGGTTGAAGGCATGTTTCAGTTGGTCAAGGGACCGGTAAGAAAGGAGACTATGGCCTACTGTGTTGGAAAGTAGAGGAGGGGTGTGAGGTTCTTGTGGATAAAGCAGCAAGGTTATTAATGAGGCAGGGGCTGCTGTGGATGGGCCGTGAGGGGGTGACATGACCAGATAGGTTGAGGGTCTTGGATGGAAGCCAGATGGGATGGGAGGAGTCTTGCTCTCTGCTGGTAGGATCTGCAAGACATAGTGACAGAGCACGCTGTCACTTGTCACATGAGCTGGTAGAATCAAGAGGGGACATGGCTGGGAAGAGACAGCCAGAGCAGCGTACTCTGCAAACCTAGCCTCGCGTGCCCATCGTCCCTGGAAGTACAGAGTGTGGCCAGCTGAGCTTTGGTTCCAGGGAGGCTGATGGAGCCCTGAAGCTGGCACCCCACAGGGGAAAGTAGGGGTTAACAAAGGGGTTGACTCCCCTCCATGAAAAGTAACCAGGTAGAGGGGCAGGTTTGAGGTTTGGCTGATCAGTTCATAGAGGTTAAGCATTAAAATCATCTTTTCTTGGTCTCTCTTTCTCATTTCCAACTTCAGGTGACAGTCACAAGATGTAAAATTAATCTTTTTATTTTGTTTTGTTTTTCGAGACAGGGCTTCTTTGTATAACAGTTCTGGCTGTCCTGGAACTAGCTCTGTTGAGCAGGCTGGCCTGGAGCTCACAGAGACCCGCCTGCCTCTGCCTTCCAAATGCTGGGATTAAAGGCGTGTGCCACCACCACCCGGCTAAAATGAATCATTTTAAAGTATTTCTGTGGTGTGTGGTGCACAGAGCGCTGTACAGCTCACCACTAGCCAGTTCCCTGTCCATCCTGCCCCACCAGAACTGCAGTCTGCATTGCATCTGTGTTCTAGGGGTCACATCACACGTGGCCTGTGGGTCGGGTTGCCTGCACTCAGTGTAGCACGTTCACAGCTCATCCCCACAGTAGCACAGGCCCATGCTTCATGCCCTTTGCTAGCTGTGTTCTAAGTCTGTTCTCAATACAGTTGGGCTTTGGTTTTAGACCATGTGACTTTGCTAATCCCCGTGGTTCTAAAACAAACAAGAAATTAAAAAAAAAAAATTCCAGACTGGGAAGACGGTTCTGTCAGTAACGTGCTTGCTGTCTGAGTCAGAGAACCCAAGTTCTGGACCAGAACCCAGGCTTTAACAGAAGACTGAAGATCCTGGTGTACTAGTGCTGAAGAGAGACAGGAGCCTTGGGGTTGCCAGCTGGTTAGTCTAGTGAGCCTATGCCACTTGGGCGGTGGTGGTGCACGCCTTTAATCCCAGCACTTGGCATAGGTAACCTGATCTACAGAGCTAGTTCCAGGACAGCCAGGACAATACAGAGAAACCCTGTCTTGAAAACAAACAAACAAACCAAAAGAATAAGACCCCTGAGTACCTTGTGGGGAGCTTGGGAACTCGTCTCCCTGAGGGGCCCACAGTCTCTCCTACTCCCTGCCCCTGGGTCACCCAGTCTGTTTCTCCTGTACTATCTCTCAAAGCAAATGCCACTCCTAAAAGGTAAATAGGGTTTTGTTTTTAAGTTTCATTTTTCTATTTCTGTAGTTTGCTGTTGCTAGGGCACACACAGACCATGCTCAGTAAGTGATTTAACACATCACTGCCTTGGGACTCTGAGTTCCAGAGGGGCCCCCCAAAGGCTATCTGTCCTCAGGGAGTGGTGTGGTAGTGTTCTCACACAGTTGGCAAAGCAAGCTACTCCCAGAGGGTAACGTGCCTACCCAGGAGAGTGGGAGGATGGGGAAAGGGGCCAGGATCCCGTTCTTAATGTGTTTCCTGGTTCCTGAGAATGAGAGTGGTCCCATCCTGGTCTCATGTCCTCTTGCTCCTCCCACCAGGTTGTCATCATCTGCCTGGTGATCCTGGACGCCCTCCTGGTACTTGCTGAGCTCCTTCTGGATCTCAAGATCATTGAGCCAGATGAGAAATACTACGCGGTCAAGGTATGCACACAGCACAAGCACACGTGGTGCGGGTACATAGGTGGTACAGCAGGTATACACCAGCCCCCCAGGTCACGCATGTACACAGCCCAGGTCCACAGCAGCCAGGGCATATGTAGGGTGCTGCTGATGGGGTCGTTATCTGCAGGCGGGGAGGGTGTCGACTGAGCCACTGGCTGCTCAGTGCATGTGACACTCCCATCCTCCTCCAGCTCTTTCGTTTCCCTCGGGTACAGGCCTTACTGTGGTCCGCACTGTGGTCACTGTGAGCCTCAGTATGACCGCAGGAGTTGGAATATCCCTTTGCCTCCTGGCTGCCTTAGCAAGAACCTGGGAACTCTTCAGGTACCACTAGTCTTTATGGCTCCCAGGGAATGTATGACCCTGCCCGTCATCAGCAGTGGAGTAACAGGTACAGGAAGTCCAGCATCTGTCTAGCAGGTGCATCCATCCACCCACCCACCCATCCATCCATCCATCCATCCATCTATCCATCCATAGATATACAGGGTTTCTCTGTGTAGCCCTGGCTATCCTCGAACTCACAGAGATCCTCCTGATTCTGTGTGTGCCTTTTATTGAACGATGACATTGTCCCCTCCACACAGATTTGGGTTTTGCCCATTGTACTGCCGTGACCGACCGATGTGGCTCTGAGCAAGTGCCTGCTCAGCCATAGAACATGTCCCTCTCATTTGGGTGGCTGGGCCAAAGGACACTGGAGAGCTGAGGTGGTTTTCTTCAAACCTGAGAAGCACTCATGACAGAGTTGTGGCTGCAGCCCATCTTTTTAGTTAAGATAGTTTCACTCTGGTCCAGGCAGGCCTTGGACTCTTGATCTTCCTGCCTCACCTTCCCAAGTCCTGGGTTGACAGTCAGGCATGGCCAGGGATGCCTAATCATCTTCCAAGGGTGGAAACCTTGTCTCCAGCACTGAGTCATCCTTGGTGACCAGGCAGGCGTGCTTGGGGTAGACGGTGTGGACAGAGACGACCATGCGGCAGTCAGTGCTCTTTGTCATTCTGTCCCCTCAGGTGTTTCACTACATGAGCTTTGCCATCCTGGCCTTCTTCATGCTGGAGATTTTCTTTAAAATCTTTGTCTTCCGCTTGGAGTTCTTCCACCATAAGTTTGAGATCCTGGATGCCATTGTGGTGGTGGTGTCGTTCGTCCTCGACCTCGTCCTCCTGTTTAAGAAGCACCAGTTTGAAGCTCTTGGCCTGCTGATCCTGCTACGGCTCTGGCGGGTGGCCCGGATCATCAATGGTGTGTCTCCTGTGCTCCTAGACTGCATGGGGGTGGGGGTCTGGGCTCTGTGGTTGCTACCAAGGTGGCAATACAGTCACCAGATGCCCGCGATCTCATACCTGGTTTGTATCACGGTTGCGCCCTTTGGAATCTGGCGAAAAGTAGATGGTAATATTTGGTGCGAGCTGCAGAGCATGATTGCGCCAAAGTTGTCTCACACTCTGGTCAAGTTTTCATGGTTACCAGAAGGTAGTCATGGAAGCATGGGACCCTTGCCCCGGGCAGCACAGGAGGGCATCCTCCAGAAGGGAGGCAGGTAGATGAGCAGCGCTCCGTGCTGGCTGCCCAACCCGAGAGTCCCCTCATGGAGCTCCCTGTCTCCCTGAGTTACCACTCCATTGCTGCCATGTGCTACCATCCCCTGGCTTCTAGAGAGAACACGAGGAAATCCTGCTCTGCCTACCTCCAGGCACAAACGCTGCCCCTGGTGCGCATATCCGAGGAGTAGCCCTTCTGCGGGCCCTGGCTGGTCGGTGTTGAAACTGTTCAGTCTTCCCAGGAAAGACAGTGTCTACTTTCCCAGCAGTTCTCCCGCAGAGGGCAGCGGGGTGGGGTCGGGGGTGTAGTCAGGAGATCTAGATAGTCATCCAGCTTGGGAAGCCTGAGATGAGGGAGTGACAGTGTGGCTGTGTTTCTGGTGACTGTGTCCTCTGATGGGGCTATGACCTCAGGAGCCCTGGCCGGCACCTCCTGTCACACAGCCCTTTGGGTTCTGCAGAGCTGCAGGTAAAGTGGGCTGCTGCGACTTGAGATTGAAACGGTCACAGCTCAGGCAGCTTAGGTCTGGGGAGAAAAGAAAAAAGCAAACAAGGAACGTTCCTTTGTGTCATGTGGAGACAAAGGTGACAGGCCGGTGACCCATGGGGTTTAAATGGATTTATCAAAAAGACGGAGGTAAAAGGTTTATTAAATACACCATAGTGCAGCCACGGTGAGTAGGCTCCAGAGGGGCTCACTTGGCTGAGCGGAGCTGGAAGCCTCACTTGGCAGCTGGGCAGGTGACCTTGTGGCATTCATGGCCCTTATCTGGGTTTGTATCTGAGGGCAGCACTGGTGTTTCTTGAGACTGGCCTTGAGTCACTGGGGCTGTGTAAGGTATCCCAAGTTAGCAGGTATGTGCCAACTAGTCCGGGCCATGCTCCAACACAGGGGTCCCTGCTTTACTTTGGTCTTTTTGTCTCCATACTCTGAACTCTGGCCAGGGAGGACAAACAGCTTTCAGTTACTCCTGGGGATGCTTGTCCTTGGGGAACGAGGAGCACAGGGGCCTGCAGAGACTGTGCCCATGGGGACCACAGGGAAATACTGCCCAGCTGTATACTCTAGGGCTCAGAAATGACGATCTTGCCCGCCTCACTGAGGCTGCCAGTGACAGTTGTCTTGTTCATCTGTCTCTACACATCCCAAGTATATACATGAATTAGAATACAAGTCTTGGGGCTGACGACAAGAGGACTCAGTGGGTAAAGACACTTGCTGCTAAGCTTGACGACCTGAGTTTAAGCCTTAGGGCCCACAGGATGAAAGAAGAGAACTGACTCCCACAAGTTGTCCTCTGACGTCCACATGATCTCCCCCCCCACACACACAACATAATATTAAAGCAAGCTGTTGCACCACAACCCTCCCCTCCCTTGCAGGCATCATCATCTCAGTGAAGACACGCTCAGAACGGCAGATCTTAAGGTTAAAGCAGATAAACTTTCAACTGGCCACCAAGATCCAGCACCTGGAATTCAGCTGCTCTGAGAAGGTGAGACTTAGGGGACCGGTTCCACGGCTGTCCCCTCCAGCCCACTACTGCCCACGCATCTATAGCCTACAGCTCTGCCTGTTGCTCCCTCTTCCTGGTCTTTCTGGCTTAAGCACGGGCTCCTGGAGCCGGGCCCAGTCCCTCCTCTGGGCATCTTGTTCCTGTCATCACTGCTTAGGGCTCTTCCTGGGAATGGCTCCCCTCAGCAGCCGGAATGCCACAGACTGTGGCTCTTAGCTGTCTGTAGCCCCAGGCCTGCAGGAATGTGGCTCAGAGCTCACTGCCCAGTGTCTGTCTGCTCTCACCATAGGAACAAGAAATTGAGAGACTCAACAAGCTGTTGAGACAGAATGGACTTCTTGGGGATGGGAACTAGCCTTCCAGAAGCTCTACCCTAGAGAAGCTGGGTGGTGGCCAGAAAGCAACTGTGTGCTGCCAAGTCCAGTTCTCATCTTTGCCTTGGCTTGCGCTCCCTGGATGCTGGGGACACATCTTTGTCAGCTCTGCTGCCTCTTCGGTGTGACCCAGAGCCACCTGTCCACGCCCTCCTCCTGTAGCAAAGGAATCATAACCACCTGTTCTCAGCTGAACTCTGCTGTTGCTTGAAAATGGACAAGGAAGCTGGGCTTGTAAAACTTAACGCCATCGCTCCTCTGTGTGTAGGGGACAGCACATCCTGAGGACAGAAGCTGGCACCTTGCACCAGCCCATTCTAGAAAACCTTTCTTATCTCCTGCTGCACCCCTGGGGGAGCCATCCTGGTGCCCAGCCTCTCCTGGGCAGCACCCAGCTGTACCATCAGCTTCAAACTGGCTCTGCACCCACCACATCTCTCTCAATTACTGTGCAATTAATGTATAAAATAAGCGCTCTCCTTCCCCTGGGCCTGCCTACCACATTCTCTCCTTGGTGGCAGCCCACACCAGCCCACCAGTTATAGAGCTAGCTCACTGCAGGGGGGCCCCCAGACTGCCCTGTAATTAGCATCATATTGGGGTACAATGCCCTTGTGGGTACACATTTTTACACAGCCTCTTGCTCGTTTGTACTTCTCAGAATGCTGATGGGCATTTTGAAGACAGATCCTGACAGATAGAGGATAATGCACTGTGGAGGCCTGTGACCTGTGTGTGCAGGGTGCTGGTACCCTGACCTGACCCCCTCGCCCTGCAGAGTTTAAGGTTCCTGGGAGGAAAAGGAGGTGGAGGGGGCAGAGTGCTGGTTTAAGGGTAATGAGCAACTGGGTTGGTGTCCGCCAGAGCCTTGGGCCTGGGTGCCCACTGCTGCAGAGGAAGACCGTCAGGGTGGGTACTCACTCCTGTGGGTCCACTTGTATCACACAAAGGGGAAGAAGAAGCTGAAGGGCAGCCTGGCGTTGATGGTAGGCGGGGCTCGGAAGCCTGCCTCTGCAGGGGTTGACACGTCCACAAATGTCACTGTAGTGGAAATGACAATCGTCCTCTCAGGCCCTGGGAGGGGCTGGAATGTAAAGACAGAACAGGCTCACTCATCTTCCTCACTCAGCCACTGGCACTGTCAGCTTGAGGCTGGCAGGTATGCGGAGTCAGCCGGGCACAGCGCAGCCTAGTGCATGGCGCTCCAGGCTGATCCAGCAATCGCAACCATGGCTCAGTGTTCACAAGAATTGTGACCACACAAAAAACCCATCAGTGAGATTTCCCTTCTAAGTACAAGTTAAAGAATGATTTTGAAATTGTTCTAGGAGTCAAAATTATAGTCAGGCATGCTCACACTTGCCCGTTAATGCTCAGAAGGCTGACGCCGAGAGTCACAAGTTTGAGACCAGCCTGGGTTTGAGACAGATCCTATGTCAAAATACCAAATCCCACCAGGCACAGCAGCACTAGCTAGTTTCCTGTCCCTGAACATGGGAGCTATGACAAGACCCTGTCTTTAAAAAAAAAAAATTGAAATCCAAAAAGATATTATAATCTCTCATACCAAGTAATAAACTTTTCCTGTCACACTTGCTGTCTAGTCACCTTGCCTTCTGTCTTCACCTGCTCCTTTTATTTTGTTGTGGTTTATTTCTTTCGGTGCAAGGCCGGGGGTTGGCCCAGGCTAATCCCAGGCCTACCATTGGGCCACGCCCCAGCCCATGGAGCCCATTGCAGAAGGCCTACCTCTGGAATGGAGATGAGCTGGGCAGTGACGTTTACTATCCTGGCTTGGGGGTTCAGCAGAGACCCATACTTAGTCCATTTCACTTCTATACCCAAAGCCACAGGGAGCTGGCAAGGGCCCTGAAAGAGAAAACTAGATTATAACAGAAGATCACACAGCCACAGATAAAACTCAATCTGCAGTTGAGCACTTTGAGTATCACAGAGTCTTTGGAACACAACAGCTTTGCAGAGCCCTGAGCCGTCCCAGCACCCTCCGCTCCCTCCACTCTACCACCAGAGAGAAGCAGGGCCAGCCCCTCCTGTTTCCAAAGAAGGCCTAGTCACTATGGAGTGGTGGGACCTTCGGGGCCTCTACCAGCCCACATCCACCTCAGAGGAGCATCTGGAAGCTGGCCAGAGGGACAGCAGGGAAGAGACTATGACTGAATGTAACAGAGAGAAGGTGAATTTGATTGTAGCTCATGTTGCATGCTTTTATCTAACTTCATCAACTAGCAGTGAAGGTACAACTTGGGGCTGGAGAGAGGGCTCTGCGGTTGAGAGCACCAGCTGCTCTGGGTTCAGTCTCCAGCACCCACACAGCAGCTTACGACCACCTGTAACTCTAGTTCTAGAGGACCCAACACCCTCCGCAGACTCTAGGCACCCATATGGTGCACATACATACAAACACTCATACACAGAATTGTTTTTAATCTTTAAAAAAAGTCGCTGGGCATGGTGGTGCACGTCTTTACTCCCAGCCCTCAGGAAGCAGAGGCAGACACATTTCTATGAATTGGAGGCCAGCCTGGTCTACAGAGTTGAATTCTAGGACAGCCAGGGATTGTTCACAGAGATACCCATCTTGAACCTTCCCCAGCACCACCACCCCCCATCCACAAAAACAAGACAAAACAGCACGGGGCAGAGTCAGTGTCTGTACATTATCAAAGGTACAGGGTAGGTGTGGTGGTTGAATTCAAGGCCAGCCTGGCCTACACAGTTCCAGTGAGTTCCAGGACAACCAGGACTGTATAGAGAGATCCTGTTTCAAACAAACAAAACAAAGGGAACCACTTCATCTGCATTGAGGGGCCAGCATGGGGTTATCTGAGCTAAGGCTGGAACCTGGCTCTGTCCTAGGACCTTTGCTTGGACAGTCCTGAGATAAATGGGCATCAGGCCCTCCAGACCATCCTTTTGCTAACTGTAGAACCGCAGAAGCTGCACAGTGGGGAGATGGGGAGCCCACTCTGCTATGGTGCTGCCACATATGTTTGACTTTCCACATATATTTTCTCTAAATTCTGTCCTGGCATAGAAAGCTAGCAAACTGCTAAACTGGAGTTAAACTGCCAAAAGCAGTAACGGGATTCCTTAGCTTGCAAGAGCCTTTAGAAACCTTAGCACTGGACCAGCTTGCCAATCTCCCGTTGCTAGGAGAAGCTGCAGGTGCAGTGGGTGTGAAGAGCAGATGCCCTGGGCCTGCTCCCCAGCACTAATGACTGCTGTCTTTACCCAGTGCCAGAGAGCCATACCCCAGGTTCACTGGTGGCTGGCACAGGGGTGAGGCGGTCCTCGGAGTGGGATCTGGTGAGATTCTTCTCCCCACTGTGCCACTCCTTATAAATATACAAAGCAGATAATGAGAGGCCTGAAGCAGCTGTGACAAGAAACAGCTGAGCAATTAGGGGAGAATGGAGTGCACACCTCCACTGGGGACAGCCCACACTTTGCCACTAAGACAAAAGGAGGAGGTGGGCGGAGGAGTCACGTGTGACCAGGAAGCTATTTGTAGGATGTCAGCTCCCATTAAACTCTTTGGGGAACTTTGGAACTGAAAGAGCTCATGTGTGGGTGCTGCCATTCCAGCCCAGAGGGCATGGAATGGAAGTGGCAGAGACAGGAGGTCACATCCCATGTCCCCCATGTCACCAGATGTCTTAGGAAGACTTACTGCATCACTGTTGTCCAAGTTGACCATCCTGGATTTTGGAATATTTGCATAGCCATGATGACTGAGAAATTCATGAGGCTAGACAGAATCCATTGTTCATGTCCACCTCACTCAGCCAGTCTAGAGTTAATGGTATCTCACTGGGCCCAAGTTTTGACCGTAATCATCAGGCATTGGTGGTGACATGTTGGCACTAAGAAAGTTTCGGGTTTGGATATCACATTTTTTGGTGAGGGGATTTCTCAACTGCAGTGACTGTGGTGGTCACTCGTGCTTCTAGTTTATGGAGTAACCACTGTGTCCTGACAAAAGCCAAACAAACCTAACCCTTTGAACAGCCCTGTGAGGTCAGTGATGTTTCTGAAGGGCTTTAGTAGCCCTAGCATCGCAAACACGGCTCTGGCAGGACTTGCCCTCCCCCGGAAATTCCCTCTGTCTTGCTGAACTGTTAGATCACATTCGTAAAGCTAGCCACCAGGGGCTATTCCCTTACTTGGCCACTTCCTCCTTCTGAGACTGACTACCAAGGTCCAGCTATCAACGTATTGAAGTCCAGCAATCAGAAGCCCCTTCTGACTGCCCTAGTTAACATGCCCAATTAAAACAAACCAACTCAGCCGGGCGATGGTGGCGCACGCCTTTAATCCCAGCACTCGGGAGGCAGAGGCAGGCGGATTTCTGTGAGTTCGAGACCAGCCTGGTCTACAGAGCTAGTTCCAGGACAGGCTCCAAAACCACAGAGAAACCCTGTCTCGAAAAACCAAAAAAAAAAAAAAAAAAACCAACTCATCCTAACAACGGGGTTTCCTTTCTTCCCTTTATAAACTGCTGTTTGCCCATGGACAATGTCTGTCTCCTCTCTCTAAAGAAGAGGGCCTTTGCCGGGCAGTGGTGGCGCACGCCTTTAATCCCAGCACTCGGGAGGCAGAGGCAGGCGGATCTCTGTGAGTTCGAGGCCAGCCTGGTCTACAAAGGGAGTTCCAGGACAGGCTCCAAAGCCACACAGAAACCCTGTCTCGAAAAAAACCAAAAAAAAAAAAAAAAAAAAGAAGAGGGCCTTTATCTCTCCAAAGCAAATATTCCTTTCCCCCTCCCTTGTTCCTTTTCCCTTCTCCATCTAGCTCCTGTTTTTGTGTCATTCCCTGCCCTTTGACCCTCTGGGGCAGATAAATCTCCTCTGTACTGAGAACCTGGTCTTGGGGTGTCCTGTACCGACTCTGCTCCTTTCAGTTTTCGTGTCACAGGGAAGCAAGCAGAGGCTGAAAACTACTGACTGACAAAGGCATTGTGAGGAAGGGCAGAGCTGGAAAGCCTAGCTTAGTGCAGCCACCCCACTGCCTCCCCTGTGCC